GATTTTATTTTATCAATCAAGCAGTATCTCAACCAGAATCCTGACCCTTGTGTAGAATTAGAAATTTCTCAACTAAATCTGTGGGAACTACTCTGTCATTCCCGCTCTAGAATGAGAAATGGCTACAAGGATTTAATGATTTCTGATGGTTTATCTGAAGTATCTACTAGATATCAGACTTTAAGACAAAATTACTGGCTCCCTTCTCCTGCCTGTCCTCCAAACATTTACTTCATTCCGTGAAGCATCATGTTTCCACCAGAATAAAGAAATAACTAAGAGTTATGAACCTCAATCCTTACATCCTCTTTCCAATTTGTCTACAGAAAGTAACGTTAGGCTGGTACCACCAGCTTTCATCTGCACCCATTATTTAATTTGGAGTATCGCCAAACGTTAACTCTGCAACTAAATCCATACATTCCGATCCATGATAAACTTTCTAATGTAGGAAGTCAATTAATAATTCTATTTATCAAAAGTCAACTAACTACAACTTTCCCACATGCATTGTGCACCTTTTCTTTATTTAGATGCTCGGTCTCACCTTCATGTCCTTGACATCCTACTTCTCTCACAAGTAAGTGTCTATTAGACTTCTCGTTTAACTTTAAAAGAATATAGAATCTTTCCATCCTCCAAAAAGTTAGCAATTTCCTAGCAACAACTATTTGTTGCGAACTATGACTTAAAAAAAAAAAATTCCATATTATTTGTGCAAATGAAGAGACTTTGCTTCCTCTTCGATATGCAACTCAGGCAACTCCTCTAAATGACACCCCCCATGAATAAAATTCTTGATTAAGAATACACTGATGACTAGTTAATCCGTCTACTATCCTCAGTCGGTGTCATTCTAATTAGTACTTGAATCAGTCCAAAATTCTCCTGCCGACTTGGGAACAACTTTTGAAATTTCCAAGAAGATGTTTAGCAAAGTCAGTACCTCCGATAAATCATCGTGGCGTTATGGTATATCCAACCAATCGTACTAGATTATTTGACTCATACTGCTGATTCTAATTATTCCATCCTGAAAATATACCATAATTACGCATGTCTAGGTTCAATAGATTGACTAGAATTATCTACATCTACCAAATCCTATGACCACATGCTCACAATCCTAGCGTATATAATGCTATTTCCTCTAAAACAGTAGTTGACTGATCACACACTTATGTCCTCAACTAAACCACATTCCCAATCCCGAATAATTGACGAAAATGAAACACATAAGATACATACAATTAAAACAAAATACAACCCTAATTAAAACATCGTTTTTTCTAGAAAAGAAAGTTTCTTTTGAAATCAACCTTACCAGATTGGTTCAAAATTTCCTTTTATAGTTTCGTAGGTAATCATCCAATCTCGAAACATATCCTTTAAATATAGCTTAAAAACAAAATCCATTTGCCTAAGCAAATACCAAAGGCTTAACCCTCTTCCTCCTTATACGCAGAATATAGACCGTTCAACGTAGCTTTATAAAACAATTTAGAACGTCACAACCTAATCCCCATACTCTCTGGAATGTGATATAAAATCATTGCTCTGTTCCTATAAGAACTCCATTCGATCCTACACTCTTGAAGAGTACTTTATATCTACCTCCTTGAAAAGTAATATGAAAGTTTAACTATATATAGGTTGATCCACACCAACTCTTCTAGTATCCTTCACTATACTACTAGCGAATAAGATCACCCTTGTGTGATCCTTCATCTTCAAAATGCAGTATCTTCTTTCCTGGGTACACTACAACCCCTCTATTAGGATCCTCTTCGGACTCCTATTCCTCGTTTGTCTCCTTTACGAGAACAACTGAAGTCGTGTTGGTCCTGTTATGCAGTGACCCACAACACACTCCTAAATCCTTCCTTGGCTTATACTTTTAAAAGTAGCGCCAACCGGAACTAAACCTTCGATCCCAAGTTCTGCTTTTAACAAAGAACTCGATAACATACTAATTTACTTCTTTGGGTCTGTATCGCTTTCGCCTTGGACCCCATACTCCTCTTAGTGTCAACCATTCCATAACTATGAAATATAATTGACATCTGCTCTTCCTAACGAACCGTAAATAGAGTACAACGAATCCTAATATGGCTCTAAGTTTTAAGAGACGCAACGCGAAAGTCACATAACAAAAGACACTCCTAAGGACACTAGAACCTGGAGTGCTCTGATACCAACTATGATACCCCTTGATTCTAGAGTCACGGGTGATCAAGTCCGAGCATAGATCCGAGGGATACTAGACAATTAATATGTAAACAAGCAAGAGTACAAAAAAATTTTAAAATAAAATAACACGCTGAAAAGAATTCTAAATATAAAAATCCTCTAAAATAATAAATTAATATTATTTAATCTTCATAATCCGTACAACTCGAGGAATCCATCCAGTGGACCCCTAATAATTCCAAATGAAAAATAATTTACATAACCAAAATCCAAAACTAAATACGAAAGGAAGTCCTACGTAGTCAGAAGAGTGAGTGACTATATCTGCTTCATCACGATCAAGCTCTAAGCCTGGTACTGACGAACACCTGAAAAATAAGAGTAGGTCTGGGCCTTATGTAAGTTTCATCCTACTATAATCCATACATAAACCCGATACATAGATACATCATAGATAGCTCAGCAATAATTAAATAGTCTGTAAATATAAATATAAATATATCCACAATACAGAACTCTTACTGGACTATAGACCCGTCTCAACCTGACAAGTAAGCATCATGCAAAACGCACCTGAAGTAAGCACAAGTACCTAGACCCAGCAGGGTACACATCAAACTATCATAGCCAGTTATGCATCCCAATGCATATACACTCCCTAACCATCGATCCTGAGACTCAAGCTCATATCGTAGTAACATAACTATATATATAAATTCCATCCAAAACCAATGAAGTGCCGCTCAACTGTTCGTTACCAAGACACGACATTTAATTAGGATTTAAATACTATAATTAAATCCCTTTCCTAAGTTCAGAATATAAAACAATACATCCAATATGTCGTTCAACTGTTTTAGTTGATAAGACATGCATCCATGTAGGATTTAACTGTTTTAGTTAATCCATTCCGTATGTATGAATAGATACGACTTAGAGTTTTTATCTAATCCATCCCTAATATGACACCGTCCCATACCGGTGCATATAATGCAAATGATCCATAAATGATGCACACTCAATTGAACATCAAATACATCCAGAGACAAACATAATAGAAGTTAGATATATGCAAGGTTCCATTATGCATCCAGTACATGATTCTAATCATATATCCTCCATTTAAATTGCTAAAGTACAAAAACAATTTAAATCATCCATATCCATATAATTGACAGAACAGAAATTTTAGCAGTTCATCAATTTACATCCATAGCATGATATTCAGAATTATAAACAGAGCACAATGCTAGAATTCTAAAGATTACCATCATACTAGTCCATTTAATTTGCTAAAACAAACCTAGCAATTAAATCCACCTCAATCCTTGACGGTATGTAAATTAATATTCAAATTTCATGACGTCCATTTAATCCTCCAATATAAATCCAGAGCATGATATAATGATACGCAGAGAAAATAAGCTGAGCACATTATATGAAATCCCAAAATACTTCCGTACCAGTCCATTTAGTTTGCCAAATCAGAACCAACAACTAAAGCTTCTACAACTCCCGACAGCATACAATTTAATATCTAAAGTTCATGATGTCCATAACCATAGCAGAAACCAACGTTCCTAGGACTTAAATATGTTATATATATCACATCAAAACCCCTCCATTTAATTTGCTTAAACATTACGACAAACAATTTAAATTCTTCAAAGCCGTAAACCGCATTCAAATTTAATTTTAATTCTTATGATGTTCAAGTTCCTAGCATGAATTAATCATTCTTGGGTATTATCCTACTTAATTAAATCATTTAAAACTATCCAACCAAGTTTAAAACAACACTGGAGCCCTGAAATCTCAAAAACGTCAAAGAAATACATTTACTGTGTATTTACAAAAGAAGAGCCGGCTCCAATTTAAGGTAGAGCCGGCTTCACTCCCCTTGGAGCCGCCTCTGCACGTTGTCGAGCTGGCTCCACTTCAATAGAGCCGCCTCTATTGAAGGGTGGAGCCGCCTCCACTCTCCCAGCCTCCATTTTTCCTTCTCCGGCGTGTTCCAGACCCTCTGTCTTCCATTGCTACGGTTCTTTGGTGTCTGAACTAGATCCTAACACATTCCCAACATGTATACAACACAATATAAATCACAAATTTCAATTGAAAACCTCTAATTGGGTATCACAATTCAAGATTACACAATTTACATAAAACTGTTGTAGTTTAAAATTGGCATGAAATCTGGATTAGTTTTAAAAATAGCATGCAATCCAACTATTAGTTTTAAAAGTTGAATTAATCCCTGGAGACTATAAAGAATACACAGAACACAAGTTTACAGGAAGGAGATGGAATGAAACTTGCCTTTAGGTTTCGGTTGAAACCTATTAACGTCGTCTCTAAATTCTCCGACGACCGCCGACTGTCAGTAAACCTCCTACCGCTCGGTTTCAATCCCACAAGCCATCCATTCTTTCCTCCTTGGTAAGACCTTCAGTCCGTGGCCGGAATCCTAACTGGTTTTCCCTCAGTTTCCACTTTCTACTTCTCTCTCCCTCCAGTTACGGGAAAAGGGTTCTAAAACCCTTGCAGACACAAAGCTTATATATATATAGGCTCCTTTAAAACCCTAATCCTAATTCCAGCTTAATTAGGTCGGCTAACCTACTTACATAAAATAAAACCCTAAACTTAATTATAATGCAAACAATGTATTAAACAAATGACTAGACAATTACGTCCACCACAACGCACATCTGTAATTACAATTAAAACAAAGAAATAAAGTAAAGCAAATAAATAATTATAATTAAATAATTAATTAAAATAAATACACAATTAGACAATTACGCAAATAAACACATAAGTTACATAAATAAAAATGCACCAGAAATTAAATTTAAATTCCCATTTTATCCTTTTGAAAACTAGGGGTATTACAAGCATCCTGAAGTGTCATAGCAAAAACTCTTCCCTGGGCTTGTGAACCACTTGTAGCTCCCCTACCTCCTTTTAACTAGCTCCCCTGTGCAAAACCTTTACCAGAACCAGTAACACTACCCACTGAGGTCACTCCTGTCAACATAGGACAATCTCTCTTCCGATGACCCGGCTGATGGCAATGATAGCATTCTTCTGCTTTCAACGCAGGACAATCTTTCTTCTGGTGACCTTCCCTTCCACACTGAAAACATCCTCTGCCAATACCACGTCCTCCAAAGCTACCTTGTTGTATAGATTGTTGTTCAGAAAGCCCTTGACCTCTTCTACTACCTGATGTCTGCCCTTGAGATTCACTACCCCTTCCCCTTCCATACCGCGACCTTTGACTTTTCTGACTTGAAATTCCTTCACCTCCTCTTGATTATGATGGCTCAGATTTATTTATTTTGTATTGTTCCCATTTTTCTTGCAATTCTTTCACATCCCTTTCGGCAATCATGGCTTTATTCACAAGTCTGTTGTAATCTGTTTCCTCAAACACTGAAACTCTGGACTTAATATCCGCCTCTAAACTATTATGAAATTTTGTACATTTATCTTCTTCATTTTGTACATTTATCTTCTTCATTCTGTACAAACTTGGGTGCAAACCTCGATAAAGCTGTAAACTTAATTTCATAATCAACTACAGACATTCTATCTTATTTTAGGAGAATAAACTTCCGTTCCTTCTCTTTTCTGTAAATTGGAGGAAAATATTTCTAATAAAATGCTTTAACAAATGGGTTCCATAATATCACCTCTTTCTCTCCTGGAATGAGCAATAAATGTTTTGTCGTGTCCCACCAATAACTAGCTTCATTTTTTAACATAAATGTAGCTAAGTTTACCTTCTGGTCTTCTGCTGCACCCATCACTGCAAATATCGATTCCATTCTCCTTACCCACCCCTCTACTTCTTCTGGTTTGGTAGAACTTGAAAATTCTAGGGGTGTTAACTTGATAAACCTCTCATAATCTGAGCCTTTCTTTCCTTTCTGTTGTCTTTCCAACCTTTCTTGTATCATCATTTGACTTGCCATAAATTATTTGTTTTGTTCAGCCAAGTCGGTTATAGTCTTCTCCATTTTTTGCATACCAATTAAGTACTCATGTTCTCTTCTCATACCACCCTGAATAGGTTGTTCCACTTTAACCTCAACAGGAACATAAGAGGCTTCTTCCTCGATTCTATGATAACCATTTCTTCCTTCCATTACTTTTTATCTGCAATAAATCTCAAATATAATAACATATATATATGATACATACTCACCACATATATTTGTTAGTATAAAATCAAGTCAAAGAAATGACTTTACTACACACTTCCTATTGCCACTGCCAGTCTAGACTCTTACTACCTCCAGAACCTAGAAAACCTAGGCTCTAATACCAAAAGTTGACACACCCTAACCCAATTTACACTATTTAATAAATTGAACAAATTGGAATTTATCTAACCATCTACATTGACCTCATTAAACATGACATCATCATATATCAGAGTACCTACTTAACAATTTATAATCTAAAAACAAATTATAGGCCTGTTACGAAAATTCTGACAAACTAAATCGTTAACGACAAGTTACACTTTTAAATACTACTACAATATTTACATCTCAAACAAAAAAATGTTCCATTATTCCTTTCCCCATTCCCACTCAAGATTCTGGACTTGGCAGTAGCAACCCAACCTGATACTTGATACCTGAAAAATATATATATATATAAATATGGAAGGAATGAGCTTAAAACCCAGTAAATGCAACACTATCACATCAGAGTAATATAAACAAATATTATCTAATAACTTCAATTAAAATTCATTAACATAGTACATGTATTAAAATATAGTACTCTCCTTTTAAGCCAGAGTATGGACCTTATTTAAATATAGTACTCTCTTTTTTGGCTAGAGTATGGACTAAGTGTAGTATTCTCTTTCTAGGCCAGAGTATGGACCTTACATAATATAATACACTCTTTCCAGGCCAGAGTATGGACCTTATATAATATAATCAAGTTATATATATATTCATCTTCAATTCACATAACAGCTTCAATACTTCAATTAAACATATCCAAATATAAACTTCCAGTGAGTACACTCACCTTGGTTACTTTCCAAATTATTTATTTTTCTTTCGGTACTGTCGATGTGGTCTTTTCCTTCTCCGTGGCTGAACATTAATATAATCACGTCATATTCATTTCTAAAGAGCATTAAACAATATTACTCATTTTAATATTAAATCCTCACTATGGCACACAATTGAAATAAAAGTTGCAATCATAAAAATTTATATAAGTTTTCCTTGATAAAACTCCAATCAAATCAGAATTATATTACTTCACTCAATTTATCAATGCAATTAGAAGAAAACTAATGGAAACATGATATTAATTTAAGAACAGCGCAGTACTTTAATTATTTGAGTAATTAATTCCATACTCCTAACATAAAAATCTCAAATACAAAAATCTCTATCTTTAAAGTTGGTTTTCCTTCATTTCTCTAGCTTTCCTTATTTATCTCCTCCTCTTCCCCTATTCCTCTTTTCATTCCTTCTCTGCCCCTTCTGGTTTCCCTTTTTTATTTCTTTTCTTTTTTCTTTTTCTTTTTTCTTTCTTTCTTCCTCTTTCACTAGCGGTTTTTCCCCCACATTATTTCACTGATACATTTTATTAACTTGTACCAATCAACAACTCCAGCAACTAACCATTATCTCAACTTAGATAATTTAACAATTGAATAAATCGAGTGAAATAATCAGGATATATGCAATTTATGCAAAATCCCTAAATCAAGTTATACTGATTGCTAGGAAAACTAAATAATAATCATTACTTCTAAAATAAATCTCAACTGTTCTAGACAATTGAATTGAAAATTCCACTTTTGAACATTTAGAATAAATTTCTATATAATACTCTCAACCCAGCAAGAAGTTTACAACCCAGTTGAAAGAGGACAATTGAAATAGAATTTCTTTCAAGAACAGTTTATCACTTCAACTACAGGAGCTTCCAATCATAAATCTATATTATGAAAAATTTTAAAAATAAATATCTATATACCTGCCCACTGAGCTTTCTCCGGCACCCTTTCCTTTTCTTTTCTTCTTTATTCTCCTCTCTGATTCGATTTCTATAATATCTCTCTATAGTTTATTATCTGTTTTCTCATATTACTATCTATAAATGCACTTGAAAAAGAAAGCGTAATTTTTGAAGCCCCTGCGAACTACCCTTGTAAGCTGTCAATAAATGCATATACTTGCTACACGTGTTACAGGTACAAACACCACCGCCTTAATAAGCTTCTGGAAGAAATTTTAACATACTAATATTATCTTATTATGTATACAAGCAGCAGTCCTCAAAACAAGCTTTTTACTGAAGCTTTATTATCATGTATAAAACACACACATCACAAATAAATAAATGTTTTAAGTGCCTTACTGATGTACTGGCAAGACATATTGTTATCAAGGAATTCCCATGCAAATCTTAGTGTTTAACATGTGTCACACTAAGTCATCAAGCTAGCCCACGTAAAGCCTTTATCAATTACTTACTAGAACATAAAAATAGGCAACATAAATTCTAGAAAAGAAATTCTAGAATCTGATTTCTACCCATCACACACACACACACACACACACGCAGATATACATATACCAAGCCATTTAGCATTGGAAGAAAATAAAATGATAACATGAAATCCAATCATAGAACTTTATTATTTAATTACTTTTCTACTACTCCATAAAATATCCATATTTAAAATATGTTTAATTAAAAATAAAATTAAGCTAATGAAATTAATTTTTGTATCGGGGTCTTACATAAGGGGTCAAGAAAAATAAAACATTTTATTTTCTTTTTTTCTCTCATGTTCAGCAGCAGCCATGGCAGCCCAAGGGGCTGCCACCTTCTTTTCTTCTTTTGCACCTTCTTCCCTCGTGTAAAATGTCGTAGTGCCTTAACGTTTATCGTAGGCCTTGGCGAGACAGACCTTTCCCCCTTATTAGAAGCCGATTCCGACCATTTTTGAGTTCGAGTTCGAATTTGGATTTTCATGGTTCCTCAAAGGTTAAAGTTGCTTCCCTAGTTGTCCCCGACATAACGTAGGAGTATCGTCGAATTCAGAGCGTTTTCGTTTCGGTGGGGATTTGTGATTTCATCACAAAATGAGGTAGATGATGTTTTAGGTTTATATTTATGCTGTATTGATTATTTTCCAAGCATATACAACTTGTAAGCATGCCTTTGTATTAATTATATGATTTAATTTAATTATTTTCTATGGATAAGATTTAATTCTCATGGTTGTATATAACTTGGAATTAAATTGTGGCATGCTATTAAATTAAGCATTGATATACTTGTTAACATATATTAAATTGAGAGGATTTGAATAAGTATTGCAACTTTTATTTAATCTTTCATTTGAATGAAAATTTAATTCACATGATTGAAAGTAGTTTGGAATCAACATGTAATGTGATATTAAATTAGGCATTGGTATGTTCTCTAACATAGATGAATTTGAGAATATTTAGAATTATTTTAAAATCTAAAGAAAATTAATTAATTAGATTAATTAATTTTATTTTAAGTGTTCTAATCACTTAATTGGATTTTTGACTTGATATTATTGATAAGCTTGGCATGTTCTATTATATATATTAAATAGAGAATATTTGAATAAGTTTTGAGAACTTTATTTGTTTATTTTTTTGGCATTAAGTTTAATTTACATAGTTGTAACTAGTGTATAATTAACTTATAATATGATTTTAAAGTAGGTCTTGATATGTTCATTAACATACCTTGAATTGAGAATATTTGAATGAGCCTTGAATACTTTATTTAATTATTTTCTTGTATGAAGTTTAATTCACCTAGTGATGCCTAGTGCAGAATTAACTTGTAATATGAAATTAAGATAGGCCTTGGTATAACCTTTGACATTTGTGATTTGTAGAATATTTGGAATTTCTGTGTAATATTGAGAATTTAATTACTTAAGATAATTAAATTCCCTTTTATGCTTCCATTGAGGTAATTAGGCATTGATGTTGTATTCTTACTTAATTTGTAATTTAGAACTTGTAGTATGATTACATGATAGTATTTCATGAGTTGAAGTTATGATTTAACTTTTAAGTATTCACATTTTATTTATATGACATTTAATATGCCATTGTAGCTTAAATGTCTAGGGCATGTCTTGTGTGTATTCCATGATTTGGTTATGTGTGGTAATTAATTTTGGTGCATTGTGTATATGTGATATACTTGTTGCACAACTTAATAATTTTTTTTGGAAAGCTTGTATGGACATTGAAAATTGTTACGGCTAAGGAATAGCTCTAGTATGGAGGATGAGAGTTCTCTCTATTTCATATAGTGCGCACCAGGTGGTGCCCTGAGGACTAATAACCCAAAATCACCAGTATAACGGTTTTATTCCGAGTTTAGTTGCGTACTAGATAGTACCTTGCGGGCTAGTAACCCGGAACCACTTACTTGGTCATTGAGACTTTATGTCATTTGTCTTTCCGCCAATTGTTGATTTTACATTCAATTCCTAGTTGTAATCTTGGATTGCTTTTAACTTATACTAGGATGTATGATACTTCATTTCTTGCATTGTATACTTGGATTTCTATACTTGTATGCTATGTATATCAACATTGCTTAGTATACTTAGAAATGTATACTTTAATATATATATCGTTCTTTTATTTCAATATTGCTTAGCATACTTAGTATGTACACTTGTATATTGATATTTTACTTTCTAGATAACTTAGTATATTTGTATCTTGTATACTTGTTTTAAGTGCTTTTCAATTTTAATTGTATACTTGCGTACATATACTTGTATATTAAATGTTTTGTTAAGTGTACCACATGCTCCTATGTTGTTTAAATTGCATGAATGATGTGGTTTATGCTAGGAATACTCTAGGTAGCTTAGGATGCTCCCTGAGTCTTACATTTGACATAGACGCTAGGTGACGTGACTGTATGAATTGATTTGTATCAACTTAATAAGTTTGTAAAACGCTAGGTCTTTGCATGCTCATCTCCTACGAGTAGTTTTATGTTACTCAATCACATAGTTGGGACATTTTTCAGGTACATGAATCAAGGTTCGAGACTCTCATTATGCTTGGATGATTTGTAAACTTGAATGTTTCAATTCTTTTAAAGGTTGGTTTGAAATGCTACTTGTAACCTTATATGTCAAAATGTGTATATTTGATTCTAAACATGTAATGTGTACATAAGTACACTATTTACAATGTATTTGACATGTATGAGATGAGGCCATACGCCAATGATATCTAATTTGTATTCTATGCATTTTCACTTTCAAAGTTTATTATGAAAAAACATAATAATAATAATAACAAGTCATTACTTCACCATGTTTGCATCAAGTATGGAAATTCCATTTTTATTCTTTCATAGGGTTTCATTAATCATGTATGAAGTGTGGCAAATAGCTAAACGGTAATTTGAAATTATTTGTTAATTTTGGTTTTCAAATTTTCCATTTGTAGTTCATTTTAGCCATTTTTTGCCGTCAAGGGGTCGGATTTTGAATCGGGTCTTTTCGGGAGCTGCAGACCATTCCCGCGTGCTCAAAATCATTATTTACATTTACGTGCATGATCGTTTTCAAGTTTAGAGTCATATTTTGCAAAATAAGCATCCTATGGAGTCATTTTGACATTTTTTTGAACAAATCTAGTTTAAGGGCATTTTGGAAATTCATTTTTGAAAATAAACTTCGACCTTGACATGGTCACTTAGAAAATGTGATTTTAGGGGGGGGTTTCTTCTTTGTGTGTTTCCAGAAAATGTCGTCTTGGTGCCGAAAATCCCATGCACAGTTAAGTTTTTTTCTGTTTTCATTTTAGCAGATTTTAGGCACCATTGACCTGAATTTCTTGGGGGCATTTTAGACATTTCATAGTGTGTTTTTTTTCGTTTTCTTCCACGATGGCAGGTAAAAAACTCGATTTCGGGGGGGGGGGGGGGGTGTTTCTACTTCGTGTTTTTCTAGAAAAATTTGTTTCGGCCTCCGTTTTTGCTCTCAGTTTTGGACCTTCAATGTTGTCAAAACATTATTCACTGCCCAGATTTGAAATTCGAAAAGTTTAATTTTATGAAACTTTGAAGCTTCATATCTTTTTCGTCCGAACACCGAATCAGGTGATTTTTTATTCTAAGTTTATTAATTTTTCCTTGTCTATCCAATGGTATGCACAGTTACATCCAGTTCTATCTGAAAAGACTATTTTACCCCTTGTCAAGTACCTTTGCAGCACTAATTTGAACCCTGAAAGTTTAATTTTATGAAACTTCATATCTTCTTCGTCCGGATTCCGAAACAGGTGATTTTTTATTATAAGTTTATTAATTTTTTCTTGTCAATCCAATGGTATGCACAGTTATATCCACTTCTGCCTAAAAAGACCATTTTACCCCTTGTCAAGTCCCCTTGCCGCACTAATTTGAAACCGAAAAGTTTAATTTTATGAAACTTTGGAGTTTCATATCTTCTTCATCTGGACTCCGAATCAAGTGATTCTTACGTCTAGATTTATTAATTTTTCCTTATCTATGTAATGGTATGCTCAATTGCATCCCGTTTTGTTTGAAAGACCATTTTACCCTTGGTTAAGTACCCTTCCCATTTTTTAATATTAGCTTCCGCATTTGTTTCTTTTGAGTTCCTTGACTTCATGGAAGGTCACCTTGGCATCTTAGGGATGTCTTATATCCCTAGAGACCTTGTTTCTATATTTACTTCCTTATTGCGGATCCGTTTCGGGTCATCTTACGGGTCATCACAGGACGCACTGGCTTGAAAAATCAGGGCTGTCACGACAAAAGTGTGTGAACTCAAGTTCCACTGTGAGGTCAACTCCCACATGCCAGAAAGATTGTGAATGATGTTTAGCCGGCGAAATAAATTTATACAAGACAAAAAACTCGTCGCGGTCAAAGTTGCCTTATACGTTGTGTTAGCAAAAATCGCATCAGTCCAAGCCTCCTAACCATGACTAGGGCTAATGTGGTTCACAAAATTCACATAAGACCATGGGTATCTCCCCTACTCAACACCAAACCTCAAAATAATGTTTGTAGGGATGCTCGAGGATAGGGGAATGTCAA